AGCAGCTTCACAATCTCCTGCCCCCTATGGTTGAAGAACCCCAGCATGCCACGTGACAGGGGTGGAGCCAGGAGAACTGCTGTCTTTCCTGACCCACTGGGACAAGTCTGTGCAACTGAGTCCCAGGGATAAGGGTAGGATCCACAGCCAAGTGACCAGTTCCAGAAATATAGATGGTCATTGTGGTGCTCAAGACACCCCTGCCTTCTTCCTGGGTTCAAGCCTGGAGTTCAAGATTGCAGAGAGCTTTAGAAGCTCTGCTAATGGGGGCCAGGTGCGGTAGCTCACACCTGTAATCCCAACACTTTGGGAGGCCAAGGTGGGTGGATCACCTGAGGTCAGGAGTTCAAAGACCAGCCTGGCCAACTTGCTGAAACCCTATCTCTACTAAAAATAAAAAAATTAGCCAAACGTGGTGGCATGCACCTATAATCCCAGCTACTCAGGAGGGTGAGGCAGGAGAATTCCTTGAACCCGGGAGACAGAGGTTACAGTGAACCAGGATCTTGGGTACAGGGATTTTTTTTAATGAGGTAATGGAAATGTTCTGGAATGCAACTGTAGTGATGGTTACGCAACTTTGCCAATATGTTAAAAACCTTTGAATTGTACACTTTAAAAGGGTAAAATTAATGACATGTGAATTACATTTCAATAGATCACAACAAAATAAATAAACAAAAAAAATTGCCCTACTTAAACACCTTCTGTGTCCCCTTTCATTACGCTTAGGACAGAGCGCACACACACTTCGCTGAGACATGGTTTGGCTTCTTCCTCCAGCCAGCCTGCCCTGCCCATCCCCTTTCCCACCCTTCCCTCTTCCTCCTACAGAAGGGCCCTGCGGGGGCCTCTTTCAAAGTCCAGGCTCTGGTACATATGAAACTCCCTCTACCTGTCAGACAGTTAAATGCCTATTGAGTTTTTATCTGGCAATAAGTAGGCATTGATCCCATTTCACAGATGAGGAAACTGAGCCTCAGAGAGATGTAACAACCCACCCAAAGTCAACTAGCTGGCAGATGCTGCAGCTGAGATTCAGGCCCCAGCAGCGGCTTCAGAATCCGCGATCCGAACCACTTTACTTGGTGGCCCTCTGTGATAGGCTGAAGAATCTCACCCCCACTAAGATGTCCACATCCCAATCCCTGGAACCTGTGAATGTTACCTTATATGGCGAAGGCTCTGTAGGTGTGGTTAAGGATCTTGAGATGGGGAGATTATCCTGGATCATTACGATCACAAATGCCCTTACAAGAGGGAAGAAGAGGGAGATTACAGACCAAAGGCAGAAGGCGGTGTGATGACAGAAGCCGAGAAAGAGGTCTGAAGATGCTACGCCTCTGGTTTTGAAGGTGGAAGAAGAGGCCATAGCAGAAAATGGAGCCCCAGAAGCAGGAGAGGGCGAGGAAACGGATACTCCTCAACACCTCTGGAGGGATTGTGGCCCTGTGAACACCCTGGTTTCTGCTTGTTGAAACTGATTCTGAATTTCTGATCTTGAGAACTGTAAGAGAATAAAGGTGTGTTGTGTTGTGGGTTTATAAACATTTTCTTTCTTTTTTCTCCTGGTTTCTCCAATAGGGATAACGTGTTGTTGTAAGTCACTAGGTTTGTGATGACTGGTTACAGCAGCCATAGAAAATGAAGACACTGGCCAGGCACAGTGGCTCATGCCTGTAATCCCAGCACTTTGGGAGGCTGAGGCAGGTGAATTACCTGAGGTCAGGAGTTCAACACCAGCCTGGCCAACATGGCAAAACCCTGTCTTTACTAAAAATACAAAAATTAGCCTGGCGTGGTGGGCACACCTGTGGTCCCAGCTACTCAGGAGGCTGAGGCAGGAGAATTGCTTGAACCCAGGAGGTGGTGGTTGCAGTGAGCCAAGATCGATTGTGCCATTGTATTCCAGCCTGGGCAACAGAGAAAGACTGTCTCAAAAAAAAAAAAAGAAAGAAATGAAGACACTTTGCCTCCTAGAAGAGCCTATTCCGCCTCCCAGGCGGGGTCCTTCTTTGAGAGGCTCTCCTGCTCCCCACCCCTGTCAGTGGCCCACCCTGTTTTGTGCCCCTTGGGGGATGCTTTCTGTGACCTCTGACTCTGGAGTATGCCTCCATCATGACCTCTGTGCTCACCCTGACCTTGGGGCTCTTCTCTGGCCCCCAGCACTGACCTCACTAGGCTAGAGTCATCCTCCAGTTGCCCAAGGGCAGGCACCAGCTCTGGGGCAGTGTGGAGGAAAGTGAGGTTTGGAGACAGGCACTGAATGCCCAAGGTCACTCAGCTGGCAAGAGGCAGAGCTGGGGAACGTGTGGCCGAGAGACGACCCGGGCACCCAAGCCACAGGGCTCGTGAGGAGAGAAGCCACACTGACTGCCCACTGCTTCTAGGTTCCAATCCCAGCACCCATCTGGGCCGGCATAGAATCGGACCATTCCTGATGGGCTCGGCTTTAGGAAAATCTGATAGCAAATTCCTAACCAATAAGAGCAAATAAATGAGGGGTGATTACCGACAATAAGAGAGTATACACTGCGGGATGCCTCCAAATCGCATCTCCTCCAGTACGTTTTAAGTGCTTTATAGGTCATTAACTACTTGACAGAGAGCTCCTGACACTTAAAGCAAAGAATTTGGCGCCTCTGCCAGGGAAAATCAATCAGAAATGAAGCTAGAGCATCAGTGGCGTTCAGATGTAGTGGGTGGGCCGATGGGATTCAATTTACACAGAATTTTAAGACCCTCTCCATTGTGTAAAGTAAGGCATACTGGTATTTGATGCCATTTATAAATCCCAAACTAGAATTTAGAGACACTTAACCTCTCCCCTGCCATTTTTGTGTGTGTGTGGATGTTAATGAAATATTTCAAAGACATGGAAAAGTACAGAGATGAGCCTAAGTATCTAAGTCCCTCATCTGACTCTGTCAAATAAAACACTGCAGCTATGATTGAAGCAACTACTTTTTTTTTTTCTTGAGATGGGAGACTCACTCTGTCATCCAGGCTGGAAGGCAATGGTACGATCTTGGCTTGGTGGAATCACTGCCTCCCACATTCAAGCAATTCTCCTGCCTCAGCCTCTCCAGTAGCTGGGACTACGGGTGTGCCCACCATGCCTGGCTAATTTTTACTAGAGAACGCATACATACCACACAGCCCCACTGATTTTTTTTTTTTTTTTTTTTTTTGGTATTTATAATAGAAATGGGATTTCACCATGTTGGCCAGACTGATCTTGAACTTCTGAGCTCAGGTAACCCATCTGCCTTCGCCTCCCAAAGTGCTGGGGTTACAGACGTGAGTCACCCTGCCTGGCTGAAAGGTGCACCTTTAAAAAGTGGGTGCTAGGCCAGGCGTGGTGGCTCAAGCCTGTAATCCCAGCACTTTGGGAGGCCAAGGCAGGTGGATCATGAGGTCAATAGATCGAGACCATCCTGGTCAACATGGTGAAACCCCGTCTCTACTAAAAATACAAAAAATTAGCTGGGCATGGTGGTGTGTGCCTGTACTCCCAGCTACTCAGGAGGCTGAGGCAGGAGAATTGCTTGAACCCAGGAGGTGGAGGTTGCGGTGAGCTGAGATTGCATTCCAGCCGGGGTAACGAGCGAAATTCCATCTCAAAAAAAAAAAGAAAGAAAAGAAAAAAAGTGAGTGCTTGGCAGCAAATCACACTGCCACATGTGTACCTATCCAACTATTTTGCATGTTCTTCACATGTACCCCAAGACCTAAAATGCAATAAAAAAAAAATTGGGTGCTTCAGAGGAGCACAGTGGCTCATGCCTGTGGTCCCAGCACTTTGGGAGGCCAAGGCGGGAAGATCGCCTGAGGTCATGAGTTCAAGACCAGCCTGGCCAACATGGTAAAACCCCGTTTCAATTAAAAATATTAAAAAATTGGTGGGGCATGGTAGCACACGTGTGTACTCCCAGCTACTTGGGAGGCTAAGGCAGGAGAATCACTTGAACCAGGAGGTGGAGGTTGCAGTGAGCCAAGATAGTACCACTGCACTCCAGCCTGGGAGACAGAGTGAGACTCCGTTTCAGGAAAAAAAAAAAAAAAAAAAAGTGCACCTGTTTTTTCTTCCTGCTTTTTCAAATTCTTTCTGTCTTCTGGCTCTGCCTTGTCAGGGAGACCTAAGCTGACCACCCACCCCTACCCAAGACATCACTCCTTCCTCTGAAATCAGAGTGCAATTACTGCCTCTTTAATTGACTTGGCAATTAATCACCAGCTGCTTATGAAACCGCTTCTATTGTCTTTGTCCATCTTGGGATGTGGGTGGGAGTAAGAACCAGGCAGGAAGAGGGAGGACGGGCGGGCAGGCAGGGCCCTCTTCTGGCACCAGGCTGGGCAGGGTCAGCTGAGACGGCCTGATGTCTAGAGGGTCAGCTGCCTCCCAACTGTGTTTCAGCAGCTGCCAGGCACGAGGATCTGTGGAAGCCCAAGAGAACAGGGGGCAGCAACAGGGGCATCCACCTTGGGCAGCCTCGGGGCCTCTGCTCTTCCTGTTCTTTTCTAATCAAAATGTTCTTTCCTCATTGAGCCTTGTTGAATTGTGTCCCCCAGAAAGATATGTTGAAGTCCTGACTCCTGATACCTGTGAATGTAACCTGATTGGGAATATAGGGTCTTTGCAGACGTAGTCATCTTAAGATACGGTCATACGGGATTAGGATGGGACCTAAATCTAATGACCGATGTCCCTGTAAGAATGCCACGTGAAGAGAGATGCAGGAAGAACTCATTCACCACACCATCAAGCCAGCTCCTCCTCTGCGGGTCTCAATCTGGCTGCCTATGGGAGACAGATCTCAGACTGCATTTTTCTAGTTGATTAACCCTTCCCTGCCCAACTCTGGGAGTGGCTCCTACACCTTCCTTTGTCAGAGGAAGCCCTCTCCCCCATCCCATCTCATACACTATCTCTCATTCAAAAGGATCTACTGGGTGGGGGTCCAAAGAATTCCCTCCCCCCTCAGAGAACAGCATCCGGCATGTCAGTCTGCTTCATGATCCTCCCCAGGATTTCCACAGGAAAATGCCCCAAACTGTCAGAGTGGGTAATGAAGCCTGGTTTGAGCAGACTGCTTCAAACTTCCCCTGCTATGGGTATGCATGGGGAGGAGGGTGGATTCCTAGGAAGGGAAAGAGCCCAGCAGGTTGTCAGGAATTTAACATGGAAGCAGAGGCTGTGTCATTCATACTGCCAAGCACAGTGCTGGATATAGCATATTCAAGCATGTTCACTGAAATAACACTTTTTTTTTTGATACAGAGTTTCTCTCTTGTCGCCCAGGCTGGAGTGCCAGTGGGATGATCTCAGCTCACTACAATCTCTGCCTCCCTGGTTCAAGTGATTCTCCTGCCCCAGACTCCCGAGTAGCTGGGATTACAGATGCCCCCATCATGCTCAGTTAATTTTTTTTTCGAGACGGAATCTTACTCTGTTACCCAGGCTGGTGCAGTGGCATGATCTTGGCTCACCGCAACTGTCACCTCCTGGGTTCAAGCAATTCTCCTGACTCAGCCTCCTGAGTAGCTGGGATTACAGGCACATGCCACCACACCTGGCTAAGTTTTGTATTTTTAGTAGAGACGGGGTTTCACCATGTTGGTCAGACTGCTCTTGAACTCCTGACCTTGTGATCCACGCACCTCAGTCTCCCAAAATGCTGGAATTACAGACGTGAGCCACCATGCCCGGCCAATTTTTGTATTTTTTAGTAGAGACAGGGTTTCACCATGTTGGCCAGGCTGGTCTCAAACACCTGACTTCAGGTGATCCACCCACTTTGGCTTCCCAAAGTGCTGGGATTATAGGCGTGAGCCACTGTCCCTGGCCGAAATAACACTTTTTTTTTTTGGTCACCCAGGCTGGAGGGCAAAAGGTGCAATCATAACACTGCAGCCTCCAACTCCTGGGCTCAAGCGATCCTCCCACCTCAGCCTCCCAAGTAGCTGGGACCACAGGTCATGCCACCACGCCCAGAAAACTTTTTAAAATTTTTTTGTTAGAGACGGGGTTTCGCCATGTTGCCCAGGCTGGTCTCGAACTCCTCGGCACAAGCGCTCCTCTCACCTTGGCCTCCCAAAGTGCTGGGATTACAGGCGTGAGCCACAGGACCTGGCAGTAATAACCTATCTTCTGCTCTAACACAATGCTCTTGATAGACAGGAAACTGAGCTCTGACCCTGCACAGAGCATCGCTGTGTAGAGATCTGAGATCCAGTGATGAAATCATGTCCCGGCATCAGCTCAATCATTCATTCCCAGGTGACCGAATTTCTCTGCACCTCAGTTTCCTCATCGTTGGGAGAGAAGAGTAATATCATCTCCTAGGGATGTTGCCAACATTAAAGATAGCTCTAAACACCTGTGTGCATATTTTCCACTAATTGATTATGCTAACGCGTTTCGAGCACGTACTGTGTGCCAGGCCCTGGGGAGACAACGGTGAGTAGCACGAACCCCCGAGTCCCGATCTCTAGGTGCTGTTTGGTAGAGAAGGACAAGGAAATGCAGTTATCACTTGGATGGTGTTATAATAGGGAGGATAGAAACAGGGAGGAAAAGGCCGCTTCAGGAAGGTCCGAAAGAGCAGCGGCAGCCACCGGAGGGAAAAGGCAAGGAATGAAATCCACAAACCCCCACCCTCAAGTCCTGAGTCCCTTCTTTGTCTCAGCCAATCAGACGTCAGCATTGCCGGCCGACCGACCAATCAGGAGCTGGAACAGGAGCCCCCAGTCTCAGGCCGGGGTTTCCAGGAGGAGGGCGGCCGGAACAGGAGCGCCCCGCCCTGTCCCCGCCCACTCCACAGCCCGCCCCAGACCACGCCCCGCTCGCCTCGGCCCCGCCCCAGACCACGCCCCACCGCCACCAGCCTAGCTCGCCTAGAGCCCCGTGGCCAACGGCCGGCCGCGGGGCCGTGTTGTCCTGAGGGCCAGAAAAAGGGAGGAGCGGGTGGGGGGGACAGCCACGTGGCCTCAGGGGGATTTACAACATTTTCTTTCGCCATCGACGGTACCGTAAAATGTGTGAGAGAGGCGGCGGCGCAGCCAGGACTGGAGCGTGAGGGCGCGGGCCAGGTAAGCAGACCGGGCGACTTCGCTGCGGACGGGACCGGGGGGCGACCGTGGGCACCAGCCACGCGCAGCGGCTCCGCGGGGTCTCGGCCGGGTCGGCACTCTGAAAGATCTCGAGAGCCACGGGTGGTGCAGGCGCGGCCCTCGAGCCGAAGCATCTCCGGCGACCCGGGGCTGCCGAGGCGGTGTAGACCAGTACAGGCGGTCCCGCCGAGGCGCCTCCGAATCCGGGGGTGGTCGAGACGGATCCCCAAGGCCGAGGTCGGCAGGCCCGGGTACTTGTCGCTGCTGAGCCTGTGGAGACGCAGACCCATGACCGAGGCACCCTCCAGCAACCCGGAGGCAGGTGAGACCGTGTAGACGCGCGCTTGCGGTTGTACCGCGAGCAGGTGTAGACGTGGGCGGGTTCCGGACGCGGAAAGTTTTTCAGAGCGCTCTGAGCCGGCTAACGCGGAGGAAGGGTCTGGGTGCAGGCGGAGCCGCGCCTCCGAGGGGCGAGGCGCACTGCTGGGGTGGGGACAGGTCCCCCCTGTCGGGTCTCTCCCGCCCCCCAGGGCGGAAGCTCCTTGACCGAACTCCAGACTCCAGTCTCAGAGGCTGGAATTCGGGTGCCCTCTTCCTCGGGAGCTGCAGAAGCTGCAGCTGAGGTGGGAGAGGGATTTGGGGCGACAGAGCGAGACCAGAGGGGGCTCATTTTGAGTCTTTTAGACGGGATCACCAAGCGCCCACTCTGTCTCTGGCTCCGGGGAGCCTGGGAGGTCTCCACCTCACTTGTGAGGAATCTGAGGGGCAGAGAGGCCAATCTGGCATCCGTCCCACGCTGGTGATCAGACCCAGGGACTCAAACTCCATTTGTCCTGGCTCCTCTTCTCCTTCCACCTCCGCCTCGGTGAGGAGAAAGGGTGCCAGTCATGGGGGTGGTGCACGTGAGACCTGGGGCTGGGGCGCAGGGAAGCCCTGGATTGAGTGAGACCCTCGGATCTGCTGGGGGGTGGAGCCCACTCCCTCTCTGTGGCTCCCGGTGGCCCGGCAGCCTTGGGTGAGGGAATGTGCAGAGGAGGGAAGCTGGTGGCAGAGAGTACTGGGCAGGGGGTGCTAGTGCCCACCTGCTTCGTGCCTGGAGCGCAGCGGGTGGGGCAGTGTAGTTATGCGACACTTTCTCCTCTAGGGGAAGGAAAACCCCCTACCGCAGCCTCTGCCACAGGGAAAGGGCGGAAGTGTTTCCCTTGGCTGGAGGAGATATCCACGTTTCTAGGGCAGTTCTTGGGGAGGTTCAGCCTCATCTCCCATCACCCTCTGGTCCTTTGCCCCCGTTCCTACTCCCACACCCTCCTGTCCTGGGATTCCTCCCACTACAGGGCCTTCTGCACATGTAATTTATTCTTTTGATCAACAAATAGTCACAAATAGTTGGTACAGACCAGCACAGGGGGTCTGGCATACCTACTACGCACCGGGCATGCGCAATTCAGCAGTGACTAAGACCCCACCTCTGCCCTCACAGGGCTTCCAGACCAGAGCAGAGACATAGGTGAACGACAGACAGTCGAGAAGGGGACCAGGGGAGGGGAGGGGAGGCGACCTTAGGAGGATATCAGAGAGGGTCTCTGCAAGGGGGACAGTGAGTCAGAGCAATTAACACTCCCCATCCCTGGGGCCCCAGCACCAATGTCGCCTCCTCCAGGAAGCCTTCCCTGACCTCCCTGACTTGACAGTTCCACTATGATGGACTCATCATAGTAGGGGACCACCCCCTCCTTGGACACTTTTATGCCATTAATTGGTCACTGTTTAGCTCCCCCTGTCAATTGTAAGTGCCACGAGGGCAGGACTCAAATCTCTTCTGGGTGGATGCTAGGCAAAGCCAATAAAAGATGGGTAGGATTTCCCCAGAAAAACAGGAGCAGCTCAGCCAGGTCAAACATCCAGATGGCAGAAACTTTTATTTCCCCTTCCCTGGCCCAAGTCCTGGGCTCCACACCCCATTTGCCGTTCACAGAAACAAAGTAAAAGAAACCAGCGGGCCTTGTGCAGGGAGAAGGTCTGGCACAGCCTGGCCGCTGCAGCGCCAAGGCTGGCCGGCTGGAGGGAGATTGGACCAGCCAGGGGAGGCCCGGCTCAGGCGCTTGTCCTGTTACCTGAGCTCAGACCCGCCCGCCCGCTCTTTCTTCTGTCCCAGTTCTTGAAGATTTGTCTCCTTCAAATGCTGCTCTGGGAGAAGGTGGTGGCTGACAGGGTTCCTGGGTAGCTGGGATACAGGACCACAGTGACTGCCCGGCCTCCCCCATCCTGGTGGGCAGGGCCCTGGGCAGCACCACTCTGACCCAGAGTCAGGTCTCTGGGCCAGCAATTGCTGCTTAGTTGACCCATGGCTCATTGAAACCTCACCCAGAAAGTAGGAGCTTGGCTCAGGGGAACTGACTCTTTCTTTTTTTTTTTTTTTTTTGTCGTGGTTTCTATGCGCGGTGAATCCTCCCTTCCCTGGCTCCATTGGACCCATGTGCCTGGCACCTTTCCTGGGGCAGATGAAGCCCTCACAGCTGCCTAACAAAGCTTCTCTCCAGTCTCCCACCCCACCACTTCCCCACTTCAGAAGCTCTGAGTGGCTGCCACGCGAGGCTAGAGAGACAGTCAACCTGCTTTATTCAGGCTCTGTCAGAGATGGAATAAAGCAGCCTTCCCACCCGCACCCCCCCACCCCCCAGCCAGCCAGCCTCCTGCCTGGATGGCTTTTAAAAAAATGAATTTGCAGTGATTTACTCCCTTCTGTTCTGTGGGGATCAGCAGCATTTAAATATGTATTTAAATCAGATTCACAACTCAACTCTGAGTTAAACCTCACCTGCCTCCCCCACCCAGCAGAAAGAACACAGGATTCAGAATCAGGTGACTAGAAGTTCAGGCCAAGTTCTGCTAAGGATGAGCTGTGTGACCTTGGGCAAATTGCTTAAGCTCTCTGTGCCTCCACTGGCTCCTCTGGAAACTGAGGTTAAGGATAATCCCTCCCTCACAGAGTGCAGCACGGATTAAATGAGGTCAGTTCAGGGGAGCCCTGTGCAGTGCCAGACCTGTGTTTTCTGTTCCCATACACTGGCTGTCCTGCTAATTAGCCTGGTGACCCTGGGTAGGCCATTCAGCCACCCCTGGCTTCAATATCCTCATCTGTAAAGCCTGGGGGGTTGTGGTAGGAAATGAGAGCACAGATACCCCACCCTTAGCCCCCAGCTGCACCCCCACGTCTTCCTGCCCTCTCCCTACCAGAGCGGATACTGTCCCCCTCAACCACTTCTTTCTTGTTATCTGAGCATTGGGTTTTAACTGGCGATGGCCCCACCCCAGCTCCCTCTCCTCCTGGCTCCCGGTGAACTCGCAGGGTTGCAGCCCTGAGGGGCCTGCAGTTCCTGGCTTATTTTCAGGGGCAATTAGCTGTGATGTCACAAGCCTAGGAGGTGGCCTCCATGGGGCAGATGCTTAGCCAGGCCACCAGGAGGTCAGGACCCTGCTCCATCTGCGACCTGTGGGGCTTCCCAGGCTCCAGGGGTCCCCATTGCCAGTCTCAGGGAGGCAGGGCTCCCAGGCAAAACCATTTCCATGTCTGCATTTGATGGCTCCTTGCAGCCCAGTCTGCGTGTAAATGAGTTCTACCCTGTGCTTTTGTTGGCAACTGTCGCTCCCTGGAAGCGAGGGGCTTTGTCAGGAAGAACAAAGCTGTGCGGTGTCTTTCTGATTTGGGGGGAAGCGTGCTCCTGGGGGAGGGCTCCGCGATGCTCAGTGTCGGTCTCCAGCCCCGGTTCTCAGACTTGCTGGTTTTGTTTTGGGTTTTTAAGTCCTATGGCTTAAGAGTCACATATGTTTGTGTGTGTGTGTTGGCTGAGGGTTTTTTTTTTTTTCCTCCTTTTTGGCTTATATAGCATATTCCGTGGAAGCTAATTACAGGGACTGAACTTCTCAAATCACTACTTCAACAGCTTTTAAAAATCTGGACCTAGTTACTCCTGTCATCCCCGTGTAAAGACAGAAAAAAAACCCCAAACGCAAGGGTGGGCAGCCATGAGGATGTACAGCTCCTGGCAGTGTGCGCTCCACGGAGACTGAGGTCGAAACCCAAATGCTGAGCACCTTCTGGGAGGTGGGAGGATGGTCTGCTCAGTGCCAGACACCTGGATATTGAGGAAACATCTGGGTAGCTGGGGTTTTCAGGTTTCTGCCTGACATTTAATATCACAGACATTGAGCCTGCTCCTGTCCCCCGCCAGCCACGCGGCTTCTCCGCCCAAACACACCCAGCCCCTTCCCCTGCATTCCTTGGTAAGAAATATCCATTCTTTCCAATTCCCCAGCGTTTTCCCCCTACCGGAAATCTGATGGGCTTATGACATCATGGCTGGCTGCTGAGCGACGAAGTGGATGCCACAGTGAAATCCGACATATCGGATGGATTCTGAAATCGGTTTCCCTCCAGCTATAGTAACAGGCGTGAAGTCAGGAGAATCTGAGCTTTGTTTAAAAAAAACCACAATGAAGTCTTGCCCTGTATTAAATGTAATTTTCTTAAAAACAAGCAAACCTTTTGGACATCATTTTATTTTAATAGAAATGCTGAGTTTTATGAAACTAAAGTGCCTAATAAATCGGACCTGAAGCTTTGTGAGCATTCCGTTTCTGTTGAGTGTTTGTGTCCTTATTCACTAATAAAAGAGGAGCTAGGAATGGTTTATCTCTCTTCATTATTCAAATGAGATAGCTTTTTTTTTTAGGGCCAATAAAATTCACAGGGTAAATTGCTGGTTTATGTTTTTCCAGGAATCCATTTTTATGGAGTGACCCTGGACCTCACCGGTCTGTAGACACAGTATCCCCCTTTCCTGGTTTTCTTGGCTGGGAGCCCTTAAGAGCATGCAGTAAAGCTTTTCAGCCTCCTGGCTGTGCTCAGGGGATGACTGGCTGTCAGTAGGGTGGGACCAGGACCTGTGGGCCAGGCATTTCTTGGGATGAAAAACCTCTTTGAAAGAAGAGGGTTGGCTGGGCGCGGTGGCTCACGCCTATAATCCCAGCACTTTGGGAGACCAAGGCGGGTGGATCACGAGGTCAAGAGTCCTGGTCAACAAGGTGAAACCCCGTCTCTACTAAAAAAAAAAAAAAAAAATACAAAAATTAGCTGGACATGGTGGTGTGTGCCTGTAGTCCCAGCTACTTGGGAGGCTGAGGCAGGAGAATTGCTTGAACCCAGAAGGCAGAGGTTGCCGTGAGCTGAGATCGAGCCAATGCACTCCAGTCTGGGTAACAACAGCGAAACTCCATCTCAAAAAAAAAAAAAAAAAAAGAAAGAAAAAAAGAAGAGGGTCAAGAGAGGGACAGAAGTAAAGGGACCTGGGGCTGGGTGTGGTGGCTCGTGCCTCTTGTCCCAGTGGTTTGGGAGGCTGAGGAGGGCGGATCACTTGAGGTCAGGAATTCCAGACTATCCTGGCCAACATGGTGAAACCCCTACCAAAAATACAAAAAAATAGCCAGGAGTGGTGGTAGACGCCTGTAATCCCAGCTATTCGGGAGGCTGAGGCAGGAGAATTGCTTAAGCGCGGGAGGGAGAGGTTCTAGTGAGCGGAGATCATGCCAGTGCACTCCAGCCTGGCGAAAGATCGAGATCCATTTAAAAAAAAATGGGAGGGCTGGGCGAGGTGTCTCATGCCCGTAATCCCAGCACTTTGGGAGGCTGAGGTGGGCTGATCATGAGGTCAGGAGATTGAGACCATCCTGGCCAACATGGTGAAACCCTGTCTCTACTAAAAATATAAAAATTAGCTGGGCGTGGTGGCATGTGCCTGTAGACCTGGCTACTCAGGAGGCTGAGGCAGGAGAATTGCTTGAACCCAGAAATGGAGGTTGCAGTGAGCCAAGATCACACCACGGTACTCCAGCTTGGCGACAGAGCAAGACTCGGTCTCCAAAAAAAAAAAAGGAAGTAAAGGGACCTGGGACATGAGGCCTGGGAGGGGAAATTTATTTTCTTCCTCCTCAAAAGAGAGCAAAGATCTCAGAAATAACTCCAGACTGAGGGGGCCTCAGTATTCGCCTCGGAAGTAGCCTCAGGTGCAATGAAGTACAAGATTCCGTGTGTTGTGCCTGCCAAGCACCCAGCATGAGGAAGTCCCAGACCTGGGCTGAGGACCCGGCTGCTCCAGGGACAAGCTGCGGGGCCCTGGGCAAGTCACACCACCTTTCCGTTTCTTTCCCCAAAATTGGGCGTGATGACCCTCCTCCTGCCTGTTGGGGAATAGTAGTGCTGCATGTGTCACGCAATGCCCAGCCACCCTCAAAGGGCTCCGAGGCCATTCTCATAGCTGGGAGCAGCCAGTGTGGATTCTGGAGTTGAATCCCCAGCCCAGGCTTGCATCCTGGTTCTGTCACATGCTATCTGTAAGACGACATTGATCCGTGTGACATTCACTGTGCCTTGGTGTCCTCACTTGTCAAACAACAATAATAATCGGACCAGCCTCACATGCGAGGCTGCTGTGAGGATGAACAGCCTCAGAAGGCCTGGAATGACCAAGCATTAGCTGTATGAGTGCGCCCTGGGCCCAGGAGGCAGGTTGCTGGCTAGGACCCTCCGGTCTAGGATGGGAGCAGGTGTACCAAGCCAAGCACAGGTGACGGCTAATCAAGGATGGATGGGAACATCTACTCTCTCCACACAACTTTCCATGACTCCGATCGCCCAAAGAGAATGAAGCCCCCTCGATTTCTGGGCCCCAGACTCCTGCCCCCCAGGCCTCATGTGCTGTCCCCCTCTCCCTGTGCTCTGTCCCCTCCCAGGCAGCTTTGGATGCAATGCTAACGGGCAGGTGACGTTTATTGAGCACCTGCCTTCTTGTTCTGTGCAGCTTCTGGGGATTAATTCACTTGATCCCCACACAAACCCATGAAGGGGGACAGCTAGTGTCCTGTCAGCAGTGGAGACCTCAGAGGTGCAGTGTCTGGGTCACAGTTCCAGAGCCCAGACTGAAACCAGGTTGGGCTCCTGCAGCATCCACTTAACCACGGCTCCCCTGGGCCTTCCCCCTCCACTTTCAGGCCTTCCTCCTCTACTTTTCAGCCTTCCCAGATCTGCCAAGATTTCCACCACCTCGCCCAAGAGGCCTTCCCGGCTCCCCCTCCACAGAGCCACCCGAGAAGTGCTGGTGGTGCCCTCTGTGCCCCTCAGGGTGTGGCTCTCTGTGATTGGGCCTGGGCCCCTTGTTCACGTCTCCTGGAAGCTGGGAGCTGGGCTGTGGCCAGCAATGTGTCCCGTGCAGGCCTGATGAGCAGGCGTTTGCTGAAGACCTACCATGTGCAGGACGTGAGGACTCATATGGCAGGTGCCCGCACCAGCCTGGACTTCTCTCCCAAAACCTAGACCTGTCCAGCTAATAGCTTGTGCCACCTCTCCACGTGGATGGCCAGTGGGCAGGTCCACATCAGCCAGTCACAAACCCCATCTCACGTCTGTTTTCCCTTCACTTGCTCAGGCCAAAAGCCCTGGGATTATACCTGACCCTTAGCTTCTCCTCTCATATCTCAGCAATCCACCTTCCTTCCACCTCCACTGCACCACCGGCACTGCCTGCCTGGAAGGCACAGCAGACTCCTCGTGGGTCTCCCTGACTCCTGCCCTCTGGAATTCATTCTTCACATGGTAGCAGCGTGGTCCTGTTGGAACTTTAGTCAGCTCCTGCACGCCTCTGCTCAGAGCCCTGCAATGACTCCCACTCATTCAGGGTCAGAGGGCGCTGTCAGTGGCCCCAACTTGTTCCCTCTTAGACCTCAGCTCCTGCCCCCCAACTTGCTCGAGGATCTTGCTATTCCTCCAATGTGCTGTGTGCGATCCTGCCCCAGGGCCTTTGCACATGCTGCTCCCTCTCCCCAGCATACTCTTTCCTCTGACATTTCCATCACTCCCACTTTCACTTCCTCCAGTGCTCTAATCAAATGTTACCTGTGTCCAGGCACCATGGCTCATGCCTGTAATCCCAGCATTTTGGGAGATGTAGGTGGGAGGATTGCTTGAGCCCAGGAGTTTGAGATCAGTCTGAGCAACATGGCAAGACCCCTCTCTACACAAAATAAAAATCAGCTGGGCTTGGTGGTACATGCTTAGAGACCCAGCTACTCTAGAGGCTGAGGTGGGAGGACTACTTAAGCCCGGGAAATGGAGGCTGCAGTGAGCTCTGATGGTGCCACTGCTCTCCAACCTAGGTGACAGAGCAAGACACTGTCTCTTTAAAAAAAAAAAAAGAAAAAAAAGGGACCTGCCCAGAGAGACCTTCCCTTATGACCCTCCCCATCTTCCCCACCCCCCCTTTTTTTTTTTGAGACAGAGCCTCTTTCTGTCACCCAGGCTGGAGTGCAGTGGTGAGATCTCAGCTCACTACAGCCTCCGTCTCCCAGATTAAAGTGATTCTCCTGCCTCAGCCTCCTGAGTAACTGGGATTACAGGTGTGAGCCACCATGCCCGGCTAATTTTTGTATTTTTTAGTATAGACAGAGTTTCACCATGTTGGCCAGGCTGGTCTCAAACTCCTGACCTCAGGTGATCTGCCTGCCTCAGCCTCAAGGTGCTGGGATTGCAGGTGTGAGCCACTGTGCCCGGCCCCTCCCCCATTCTTTGCATAGGTAGTGCCTATGCCACTGGTCCTTGGCTTGGACATGTGCATACGTGTCACTAGAATGCCACCTGAGTCAGAGCACTGCCTGTCTTCCCACTGCTGTATCCCACATCCCCCACACAGGGCAGGTGCTCAGTAAACATTTGCTGAATAAAAGGACAGCTGGATGGGTGCCGTGCAGGGACAGCTGGTGTCAAGCACCTGGTTCGCGCCAGGTTCTGCAACGTGTAAGCAAGCCCCCTGAGAGCTCTCATCTGGGGAAGGAGACAGACTCAGCTAGAAATCACAAAGTGGGTAGAGTGGGTGGCCTATGGGAATGGACTCAGAAGAGGAGATGGTCCAGCCAATCAGAGGGAGCTTCCCCAAGGAGGGGGCATCGCCAGGTGAGCTGAAAGGTGAAGAGGAATTGGATGGGGAGGGGGCTCGGGTGGACATTGGATGTGCTCCAGGGGCTAAGGACAGGGTTGGGAGGACGGCAAGAGTAGGGGCCTTAAAGATCAGTAAGATCCAGGTGGGCAGAGAGAGGGCACCCACCGTCACCCCAGATCGGGATTATGGCGTGGGCAAAGGCCCCAAGGTGGGATGTGTGTGGGGCTGGACTGGGGAAGGGCTTCAGGGTCAGGGGGAGCAGCAGAGGCCTGGGGTGGAATCTCAGCTCTCATTCTCCAGCTGTGTGATGCTGGACACACTGCTCCCTGTCTCTGGGCCTCAGTTGCCCCATCGGTAGACTCCTGATCACATACAGGCCTCCTGGATACCATGCCCTGCCTCACGAAGAGGGAGAGACTTAAGCCTGCAGGGCTCCAGGGGAGACAGAAGTCTGCCAGGAACAGCACGGTGAGCAGGGGGAACAGAACGTGCCAAGACGTGGCCAGGTGTGGAAGCTCATGCCTATAATCCCAACACTTTGGGAGGCTGAGGCGGGGGATCACCCGAGGTCAGGAGTTCGAGACCAGCCTGGCCAACGTGGTGAAACCCCGTGTCTACTAAAAATACAAAATTAGCTGGGCGT